TTATATTGTATTTTCAGAGGGGGTTGATTAGTTTAGGTGAAGGACGCTTTGGCCCAGCAGTGGCCAGATTTTGTTTTGACAAGGCATTACCTGATATATTGTAGTGTGCTACATAGGCTTTATTTTTTTTATTTGAAAAAATTATGTTTCCAAGCATTTAAATTCAAACTCTCAGTAACTTTAAAGTTAATGACTAGGATTTGGGGTGGTGGTGGTGGAAAGTACCTTGGAACTAATGAAGCAACTTTAATAAAAGAATTCTATATTACTGGGTATGTCCTGCCAACAATCTGGCTGTTGAATTTTGTACCAGTTGTACCTTCTAGGTCAGGGATGGCTAACCTTTTCCGGACCGAGTGCCCAAAGCGCGTGCACGCAGCCCAAAATGCAATGCGTGTGCGACCCGTTGCATGCACCCCACCCCCTGCAGGTGCACACAGCCCACCATGTGCATGCGCCCCCGCATATGCCCCCCACATGCACACATGGCTGTGCATGTGCATTGCCCCTGTGCATGTGCCCCATTCCCCACACATACATGCATGCCCCCCGCATGTGCCCTGGCCCCCACATATGCACAGCAGAGACCAGAAGACCAGCTGGCTGACGGGAGGCGTGTGTGCATGCATAGCAGAGCTCAACTGGGGCGACAGCTCACGAGCCCACAGAGAGGGCGCTACGTGCCACCTCTGGCACATGTGCCATAGGTTCGTCATCACGATCTAGGTCATCTCCAAAAGAAGCCCCATACAGAGCAAGTTATAGTGGCCCAGTTGGTGATTGGGGTAACTGGTGTAGAGCCTCAGTTGTGCGAAGATCCCTCTGACTTCAGCTTCCCCCAGCTGATTGAGTAGGAACCAAGATTTGTAGGTTTGAGTCACTTCTACCAGGGAGACCATGATCTGTTTCAGAATGACTACTGAGACAAGCGTTACTAGATTATCACCAATGACTGCCAACTCCATCTTGATAGGATTTAATCCGAACTTCATTTAACCCATCCTGATCCTAAAGCTTCCAGATATTGGATCTGCTCCCATCCCCCTCAAAACAAGCACATATCAAAACTTTGTGTAAGAGGATAAATTGATGGTCAGACTTCACTAAAGTTCTGGGGTTTCTTCTCCTGCAAGAGTCTTTACCGTAAGAAAATGGTAATGGTATTTACGGATGACCACTGAATGACAGGTCGAAGAGGCAGCAGCCAGGTGAGATAAAAGGCAGCTGAGCCCACGGCAGGAATGTTTGCAGCACAAGAGGTCTCGGAAGGGACCCTCCCAAGTCCTTGGGCTGTGAAGGAGATGGGGTGGAAGGGGAGAGGTATACTTTCTGGCTTGCAAGATTCTGTTAATTATCGTACAACGAAGTACAATGAGCCTCACTTGGCTTTATTTTCTATTTGGTCTACCTTGCAAGGCTGACAAAAGTTCTGATTATATAAGAACTACCAAATTTAAGATGGCACTTGTTCCAGTATAAATGGATGTAAGTCCTTTCTTGGTATTAAGTGCAACCGTGAAATTAAGCAGTTTTCCTCAAGTCTTCAGTATTGGAGGGAAAGGTTGCTGCCATACCATTGAATTGAAAATCCCCCATCTTGCAGAAAATTTTTTTTTTCTTAAACAGCAATGAATGATATCCTCTGCACCACATTTAATACACTGTTGCTTCCTTACCTTATTTTCCTGAACTACTAAGCATGGAATGTCTTGTGAAAGTATGTGGTATTGAAGTAAGTACCCAGCATGCTTCACAATTGGTACACTGCTGGCTGGGAATGTAGAAATGGCATCTGTACTGTAGTAAGGAATCACTTTGCAATTCCACGTGAAGTTTACAATAGCGAAACAAAAACTGTTCCTGCCTTCGTTCCCTATAGCCTAATATCTATGTTGATTAAGAGAGATTTTTTTTTTCCAGGAAAAAGCAAAGAATTTTCAGCTCTTATCTAGTGGTGAACTTCAGAAGTAGGAGTAACACCAGAAAAAAATAACACAGTTAAGTGCCTGAGCTGAGTAAGTTACCAAGAAGCACTGCGGAATAAACTCGGTTTTCATTCTGTAAGTTAGAAAAACAGCTTTTTCACACTGAATTGATCCAAAATGGAAACGAGAGGCCACATTTATCCAGAAAGTAGATAAACTTAACTATTTTGAACATTTCATAATATAAGATTTATTTTGGCATGGTGTAGTAGTAGAACAAGTTAACCTGCACAACTGTATAGGCATCAACTCTCAGAATACCCCAGCCAACTTGCTGGCTGGAGAATTCTGGGAGTTAAGGCAGACTGTATCTTAATATTACTGAGATTGAGACCAAGCACACTCTCTCAACCCAATTTACCTTACCAGACAGGCTTTGTTGGAACTGAACATTGCAATAGCCAATTTTGGGAAATCTGCCGCCACCTGGTGGACACTGTAGGGGCAGAGCCATGTTTAGTTTATGGTACCAAAAACTATCATTTGGAGTTTTATTTTTAACCCATCCTTATTAGTTTTAT